TTGAAGATTTTTGTACTGGTGTCTCTCATGTTGTACAATGTTATGTTTGGCTTCTGTATCACATTTCTATATGACTCTGGCTAGAGTGAGTCACCCATGAGTCACAATGCAGTCCCTGTTTTTGGATTGGCACACCCTGCAACTGTCCCAATTTGACAGGGATAGCATTATTAATCCTACTGTCCCACTTTTTGAGGTGTTTTTAAAATGTCTGTTTCCTACTCCTTCCAATTGCCCACTTTATCATTAGTTTACTTCAACAAGCTGACAGTGAGTTCCAAGTGCAAGAATAATTTGCCCGCAATTAATTCATCAGGAGGGGAGGGGGAAGAGAAGGGGGCAAAACATTGCTCTTCCCAGTAAACTCAGGCGAAAGCAACCCACTGCAGCATCTCTTGATGACACTGATGTTGCTTGGATACACTTCCCAGTTTGACAGTTTACATTTCCCAGTGAAACATTGTAAAATATAGAATTGGTCCAGGATACCCCCAACCTTAATTCAGTTTTGCATGTAGTTTTGATAAAGAAACATCTTCAGGCTTGTTTACAGGTAGGGTGGACAAGCCTGGGGAGTGGGGACAGCAAAGGAACCTTGGCAGGCTTTCCAAACAACTACAGGCTTTACCTAGTAACAACCAGACCTAATAAACTGTCAACCACTTCACTTTTTCAAAATATCTCAAAAGTCATGCAACACAATCCACTGAAAGGGTCTATGAGAGCTGTTCAGTGGAAAATTTCATTTAGGAATCAGGTAAGCCTGCAGCCAAGCAAGACCAAAATATCGTAATATCAGTGCTGGATCAATCAAGACATGTCTTGCCCCTGGACTATACAAACTTTATAGCAGTGGTTCCCAACGTTTGGGCCTCCAGGTGTTTTGGATTTCAGCTCCCACAGTTCCTAACAGTTGGCAAACTGACTGGGATTTCTGGGAGTTGAAGTCCAAAACACCTGGCGACCCAAAGGTTAGGAACCACTGCTTTACAGGTAGAAGAGACACTTATTGTCCCAATAGAGAAGAAAGCTCCACTGATATAAATGTGGTATCATAAAGAGAAGAAAGTTAGAACTGAGTGATAGTTAGCTAATAGAAAACTGCCTTAATTTCTCTATTCCAAATCTCTTTTGACCTAAAATATATTTGATCTAGCAAAATTTGATAACCTGGATGTGCTGGCCACCACTATGCTTTTGCATTCACCAACTACATGTATCATGCAATGGTCTGAAGTTCATACTTCTTCGGCTATTCATGAACATTCTTAAGACGTCAACTTTTAAAAATGTATTTTTAGAAAGATGGCCAGTTGATATCAATATCTTTGGTGAGTTCTTGTTCATATCCTATGCCGTTCCCCGTTCCCCTCTTCTATCAAACTTTTCTGTTTTCTTCAGAATAATACTTTACAAATCCAGTATATAGTACAACCCCCTTCATTTATTCACATCTGAAAATATATGTCTTCTCCAGGCATTTTCTAGGTCTTCCATTGAGACTCTCAAGTATTCTTGGGCTAGAAATCATACATTTCAATAGGGTTTGCTATGACCTATGGTTTTACAAATCCATGCAAAGTCAGGGAATGTATCACCCATGAATACAGGGGTTACACCATGCATTGGCAAACTTTGGTCCTCCCGGTGTTTTGGACTTCAACTCCCAGCAATCCCAGCTAGCTTATTGACTGTTAGGAATTGTGTGAGTTGAAGTCCAAAACATCTCGATGGCCAAAGTTTGCCCATGCCTGGTTTGTACTGTACTTAAAAAAGGAAAGGAAAGCAACAAAGGAGACAATAACATGCTTGTGTGCTGGAACTGAAAACATGGTGGTGATGGTAATAGTAGAGGAGGAGGGGAGGGTCGTGATAGTGCACAATGCAATGACAAAAATGATGGACACAGTGGTGACCATGACCTTACTGTCCTCCAGAGACCCACCTCAAGCTATTTCCTAAGTCTGGTCTCTGTAGAAGAGAGGACCTGAAATATCAGCACAGCAATGGGATAACCAGCTTATGGAGGGTAGCGAGTGACTTTCCCCTCCTCCCAGCACATGGCCATCTACAAGGCAGTCTTGCCTAAATGCCTATTTGAAGCTGGAGAATTCAGAGAACTGCTGTATACTTGTGAGTCCTTCCAAACATCACCTCAACATGCATGCATGCTCACCAAAGAGAACTGGGATTGGCTCTGCCTCTTAATGAATCAACCATCTGTAGCAAATGTGGCTTTTCAACTTATTAAGCCTCCTGAACATTTGGTCCCCCTTTTCTTTCATTCTTTCCCCTGCTTTTAAAAGATAGCGAGTCCTTATTATTATGCAGTGGATTCATTCATCATTCCTATGGGCTTAGGCAAATGGGCTTTTAATATTTTTTTGTAAAACAAAATCAAATATATTTCCAGAAGGAGAAAGAAAGATAAAGTTAACCAAAAGTACCTTCTAAAATGCATTTTAAAAGCCTAATTTCTGTCAAGCAACCACGTACTTATTAAAAATTGTTCACAGAGCCTCTATAATTAAACCATTAAAAACATTTTTGTTATAGAAATAACTCCCTGGAAACCAGCAGCTAACAGCTGATGATTTGTTTGAACATTACCCTTAATTATGTTGGTATTCTTAAACAAATAAGGGGTGATGCTATTAAGTTTGCACATCATTTTTTGAAAGACTTTGTAATATTTTCTCTCATTCTTTTGTTCTCATTCAGGGTGTATTTTCTCTTAGTTGGTAAAGTTACGAAGTTAATTTTGTTCTTTCTTTCCAATATGGATGCTGCTAAAGGACTTCTAGCTAGTTACAGATCAAGATGGAAATAGGATCTAGACCGGCAAATAAAGGCATTATAAAGAGAAGCTCCTTTCTAAGATGTTTGTTTACTAATTTTTTTTCCATGTCAGGAGCGACTTGAGAAATTGCAAGTTGCTTCTGGTGTGAGAGAATTGGCCATCTGCAAGTACATTGCCCAGGGGACGCCCAGATGTTTTGATGTTTTACCATCCTTGTGGGAGGCTTCTCTCATGTCCCCATATGGGGAGCTGGAGCTGACAGAGGGAGCTCAACCCGCTCTCCCAAGATTTGAACCACTGACCTGTTGGTCTTCAGTCCTGTCGGCACAAGGGTTTAACCCATTGCTCCACCAGGGGCTCCTTGATGAATGAATGATGCCTGTGTGTGTGTTTGCACAGTCACACCTACAGTTAGACTGTTAGTAGCTTCAGTGAATCAGAAGAAGACCAGAGGACCCAAAACTTTTGGTATTGAATTGCAGAAACACATCTATAGTAAACAATACAAAAATGCTAGAGTGGGGAAAGAACTAGATTCTGCTATAATGGATCCCATTTGTAGTCTTCTTTCAATAGGCAAGTTAAACTAGAATGAAACAACTATATTTCTTCCCTTCCGTCTGTGAATTTGCATGCTGTTGACCCCAAAACACAGTTCATATAAAGCAGTTAACCTTTTATGTAACCCAACATCTTGGTCATATAGGTAATTTAAGCAATGAAGCATGAAGAGAAACTGCTTAAAATTAGTGGCGTGGGATAGATCAATGTTTTGAAAGGGCTTCATGTGTTGCTGTGACTTAGAATGAATCCACTGGTGCCCGGTTTCTTATTAAAATCTTTCATTCCTTTTGCCAGATCATAGCAGATCTAATCACTGAAGTTCCTGTATTGACAAGAGTTGAGGATTGTTCCATATTAAAGTGACATGTCTGTCAGGTTTTCATTTCCGCATTTTGCAATTTCAGCCCTTGTATATTGGGTTTTCTGGCAGAGATCGGTCCATTTGTTTGAAGTATATCATGCGGTGACATCAAGGGTGGAAATATTAAGTCTTGGTCATCACCCCATTTCCAGACATTGCTCCTTCTCAAAAAAAAAAACCCTAGAAAAAATGCCTGGTCAGTACTTTAGCATGGTGGTAATCAAGCACGTGGGTTTTTTCCCTTTGTTATAATAAGAATATTCTAAATATTACAGTAGGTTGACTTTTCTGGGGGGAAATTAGTATCATGGGGATGGAGACCTAACTGGAAACAGATACAAGCAAAGTTAGTTGCAGTATTTTAATCTATTTTCTCTCAATATTAAACATTGTTCTTTCTCATCGGTTTTTTCTGAAACCTATCTACAACTTTTAATAGGCTGCTTCCAAGGTCCAAAAAAGCTGCCAATATTTTTTTGGGAGGGGGGCACTCTAAGGCAAGTGGGTCTCAGTAGACTTCCTCTTGTCTTCCCCTTATAATTATTTCTTGGTAAACGATGTTTGTGCAAACATTATTTTCCACAAAAACCAAATAATTGTGTACAGAAAACAGTGTTCTGCACAAAAATGTTTGTTTACAGAATTAAGGGTTTTCCTGCTTTTTTTTTGGAAGAAAAGTTGCAAAAATCTAAAAACGGTTCTCTTTTTATTATAGGTATTTCAGTGTGTCAAAACATTTTCTTTCTTTGAGAACAAGATTTTTTTAACATCCCCACCACTGATAGTCTTAACCTTCACAGATATATCTAATCCCACTGTAACATCAGTAGCAAGTGTCACATCTTACAGTAGCAAATCATTAAAGTTTAATGATTTATTTATATGGCAACCATCTTTTGGCAATGTAACTACACAAAGGACAAGTATGGCTGATCCCTCCTCCAAGAAGTTTAAGATTTAGGCACAGATTGAAAAAATAAAAGGAGGAGAAGAAAAGAATGGGTAAGCATGGGTAGATTATGTTAATATAGAGGTTGCATTAGCATCTGTTACAATACTATATCAATCTTAAATTCACATTTTTGAGCTTGTTTGGGCTGTAGATGAAATTGCTTTAATATGATACTGTTTCCATAGTGACTGACGTTTTTGTCAATCAAATATTGCTTGACAATATTTGTGTTGGATAGGAAAAAATTGTAAAATTATCTTGGGATAATTTAAAACAGGGTGGGGAATTCTGCACCTCTCTTTTCCTTAACTATCTCTACTCAGATATTGATCAGTGGAATAAGGTAATTGAACAGCTGGGAACCCCTTGCCCGGAATTCATGAAGAAACTGCAACCAACAGTGCGGAACTATGTGGAAAACAGACCTAAATATGCCGGCCTCACCTTCCCCAAATTATTCCCAGATTCTCTCTTTCCCGCCGATTCAGAACACAACAAACTCAAAGGTAAGAACAAAGTAGGGATGCACATCAATTTACAAGCAAGTAGAAATATGTGTCACGTTGTAAATGTATTTCTCCCCTTTCTGTTCCATATTTATTCCATCTTGTAAATCAAAGCAGCTGTATGGTCAGTTATGTATGTATAGGCCAGGTCTACTTCCACAAATGCCTGCAATGTAACTTTAGTAACTAAAGTAACTATGTAACTTTAGCTATATCAGAGGAGCCTTGCTAAGCGTGCAGTGGAGGAAAGGTTTGTGAAGGAAAAAGCTGTCTTCCACTTTCTAGCTTTAATAAAAACTCAAGCAGATTAGTAGTTCAAAAAGAGATGACCCCCCCCCTTCTAAATTTGGAGAACCATATATGAAAATGTTATGTGGCCCCCTGGTGGCGCAGCGGGTTAAACCACTGAGCTGCTGAACTTGCTGACCGAAAGGTTTGCATTTCAAATCCAGGCAGTGGGGTGAGCTCTTGCTGTTAGGCCCAGCTTCTGCCAACTTAGCAGTTCTAAAACTTGCAAATGTGAATAGATCAATAGGAACTGCTTCTGTGAGAAGTAACAGAACTCCATGCAGTCATGCTGGCCACATGACCTTGGAGGTATCTATGGACAACACCAGCTCTTTAGCTTGGAAAGGGAGATGAGCACCATCCCCCAGAGTCCGACCCAACTAGACTTAATGTCAGGGGAAACCTTTAAGTGTGCAGCAGTATTTTCTCCAAGGTATTAATTAGCCATGATAGAGCTTTTTTGAGGGGAGTGGTAAATCATGCTCATATTTACTAACCAGAATACAAAAATGTCACAGTGGCAAATGTTGGAGCAATGTTCTAATGAAGTTCAACAGTGACAAATGTAAGATACTCCACTTTGGCAGAAAAAATGAAATGCAAAGATACAGAATGGGTGACGCCTGGCTCGAGAGCAGTACGTGTGAAAAAGATCTTGGAGTCCTCGTGGACAACAAGTTAAACATGAGCCAACAATGTGATGTGGCGCAAAAAAAGCCAATGGGATTTTGGCCTGCATCAATAGGAGCATAGTGTCTAGATCTAGGGAAGTCATGCTACCCCTCTATTCTGCTTGGTTAGACCACACCTGGAATATTGTGTCCCATTCTGGGCACCACAATTCAAGAGAGATATTGACAAGCTGGAATGTGTCCAGAGGAGGGCGACTAAAATGATCAAGGGTCTGGAGAACAAGCCCTATGAGGAGCGGCTTAAGGAGCTGGGCATGTTTAGCCTGAAGAAGAGAAGGTTGAGAGGAGATATGATAGCCATGTATAAATATGTGAGAGGAAGCCACAGGGAGGAGGGAGCAAGCTTGTTTTCTGCTTCCTGGAGACTAGGACACGGAACAATGGCTTCAAACTACAAGAAAGGAGATTCCATCTGAACATTAGGAAGAACTTCCTGACTGTGAGAGCTGTTCAGCAGTGGAACTCTCTGCCCCGGAGTGTGGTGGAGGCTCCTTCTTTGGAGGCTTTTAAGCAGATGCTGGATGGCCATCTGTCAGGGGTGATTTGAATGCAATATTCCTGCTTCTTGGCAGGGGGTTGGACTGGATGGCCCATGAGGTCTCTTCCAACTCTTTGATTCTATGATTCTAATGTGAAATGCAATGGTTAATTCCTTATCTAGTTCTTAGGCATATTCCATTAAAGAACCTCCTTCCATCAGTAGCTATTTGTAGTAATATTTAGCACCAACAATGCAGATTTTTGGAAATTTAATCAACATGAAAACCAAAATACTAGATGCTGCCATTGTCCCCTCCACTTGCCTGAGCTGTTGCTAACTGTATCTGGTGCCAAGAGTCAACCCACATTGATTTGCCACCTATCATTATTCTGATGAGTGTTTGATACTTGGTTTGTTTTGGCAAAAAGTGACTTCAAGGTGGACTTTCACTGGACCAATTTGGATTAATTGAAGGAACTTCCATTGGGTCTACAGAAATTGTTCACTGGGAAGATGATCTTTCTTAAGGGTGAAGGGATCTATTTTCATTCTGTATCAATTTTCCATAGATACATATATAAACTTCTCTGTTCCATTTCCATATTACTCAATTTTATATGAAATGTGGTAAGTATGATATAGCTTCAGTTCAGTAGCTCAAGTTACATATTTCCAAAGGTCTATTAGATTCTAAAACATGTATTTTTCCTGCACATTTTGGCATATTCTTTTTGTGCTAAGAACAGCATCACAAAATCTATGGGATAACTATGTTCTGATCTACTCATTGATCTAAAAGATACAGCTTGCTCCAAACTGTAAACAGAATGAAACTTCTAGACATCCTTAAGGTGTCTTTGTTGTCAGACATTTTCTTACCCTCAGAGTGATTATAGGAGGGCTGTCTGTGCCCACTGTCTGACAATGAGAAAGGAGTAAATGGGAATTTAGGAGCTTTTATCTGTTTACAAGAAAGTACCTTGAATTTAACAAGGCTATGAATACAATGACAGCAAAACCTTGTTAGAAAGAATTCAATAGTGAGGGCTGTTGGCAAAAGTGTTTCAGATTCTCTTCTTTGTTAGTACGAGCAATATACATTTTTGCTTATTTTATTCTCACATTCAGGAACAAGTTTTTTGTGCCTAAATGTTATATTTATTTTCCGAGGGTATACTGAATTGTGAAAAATAAACAAAAAATACACACAACTCATTCAAAACATGAAGAAGAAAGCTGGACTTTCTGTATTCCTAATGGGATGCCAACAAATATTTTGCACAACATGTAGTCTTTTTTGGGGTAAAAATGATGTGTTTTGGGCATTCACATTTACACATATATACATGCAAACAAAAACCCATTTAAAAACACACACAAGCTCAAATTCTTCTGAGAAAGCCCTAAAATGTGAGGGGAAAATCCTTACAATAGTTGACTAAGTGGTGAATAATGTTCCTTGGTGTGCTGAAACACTCTTAAAATTGCACATATTGCTCATATCTCTAGTGCATACAGCCCCCATTTAGCATTAGCAGCCAGGACCATTGGCAGCCAAGTTGTGCTGCATGATTACAATTGCTCCAGATGTGATGTTGCCATTGTTTACCATGGAAAGAACTGAAATTATTTTAAAGCTATAATGAACCCATGATTATCTACAAAAGGATGGCACTCTTCTGAATGTGACAATGATTGATGTGTGTTTTAATATAACAAAAAGGCCTCCAATTATAGTTTTGGGATCTTCGACAAACTTGATACGTGTATCTGTCTTCCACACATGGCTTCTCAAGGTTGCTTGTGGTGGCAACGTGTGATGTTTTTTAATCTGCTGCAATTTGCATGCCATTACCCAGAATACATTTCTCCAGTATACAGCAAGGCTGTTTGTCTCCACTCTGGGGGGTGATTGAAAGTCTGGCCAAATGTCTTCAGAAACACTGAGCTCTTTCTATAATCCTACCCCCACATCACACTATACTGTACCACCCCAGAGAGGAAACAGAATAATGGATTTACAAAGGATTAAAAGCAGATGCTGAGGGAATGATAATTAAGATGTTCCTCCACTCACTGGGTTTATGGATAAAGGCTGCAAACATATTTTCACACGTGCAGATACAGCTATTTTCCACATTCTGATTTTCTGTCCTGATGTAATTCTCTCTCTCTTGAAAACAGGCCCCAAAAACTTTACCATTAAGAAATGTGCTTGACATACAGAAAACCAGAGGTATCTCCTTCTGTAGCAGGAAGTGATATTTTGATATTTGGTTTCCATCTGTAGATGCTATTTACAGATCTCCTTATGCTAAAATCTTTCTAGAGAGAATTCATATTACTCCAGCCCATAATTTGTTTGGAGCACAATAAGTCACAAAGCAGCTTGAACATATTCTTGTTCCCAGGGGGGAGAAACAATACAATAACAATAAAATGAACCATAAAACTGAAACTGCTATAACTAATTCCATGTGTGCTCTTTGTTGTAAGTAGCAATGGAAATAAACAATGACATGTTGGCATTAAGGAGCAACTTTCATCCTATTTGGCATGGGTATTCTCCAGTTACCCAGCCTTGGACTAAACCAAACCTACTTACACAATTTCAATTGCTTGTAGATCAGCTTTTGGCCTTTCAAATGTTTTGGATTTCATCATGGCAAGGTACTGAAAGTCAAACTATTTTAGCTCATAAGGGCAACCTGCAAGCTAATGGATGGATATATCCCTGGAATGATAAGGATGACACCCCTAGAAGAGTGTTTCTAGGGTTATATGACTAGCATTTTTGTTCCTAATTTGTGATTCAGACCTTGACATGAAAATCATGAAAAGCATGAAAATCAATGAGTTTGGCTTTCTGTCGTTGAGAACTGAATCTAGTAGTTGTATAAAGCACACAGGATTTAGGGAACTATGGGCCTATGAAATGAGTTCCTCTCCCTTGATGTTGCAAACCCTTCTTTTCCTTGAAAAAATTGGTACTGAAAGTCAACGGACGTAGTGAGATGTGGCTCTAGAACAGTCATGGGCAAACTTTGCCCCTCCAGGTGTTCTGGCCTTCAACTTCCAAAATTGTGAAAGTCCAAAACACCTGCACGGCCAAAGTTTGCCCATGGTTGCTCTAGAACAAGGGTGAGCAAATTTTGCAGGAGTTTCAGAATTCACTTCTGGTTTTGGGAATTGTGTGTTGATGTAAAATTTTCAACAGTGTATGTGGCACAATCTTCAACTCAAATTCATTCCTTTATGGCCAGAAAAAGAAAAAAACATTGGGGGGGGGGGGAGTGAGAGCAGCTAAAAGGATTGCATATTCCGTTTGGGGATCCAAATGTAGAAGACCATATTTTGCTCATGTCTATTAGGGATGGAAAAATGAATGAATTGAGGAATGATTTAAACCATGTGTTGGGAAACTATGATTAGAAACTTCCTGGCGTAATGGGCTCCTTTACAGTTAAAAATGTATTCTGTGCAAAGTTTACATGTGGGTTTTTGGTACTGAAAACCCCATTTTCTGCACAGGAAACAATTTTTTTATATATGAAAAAATATTTTCAGAAATATTTTCTGCAGAAAATTCTGTTTTCTGTGCAAAAACCCACATGTGAGAATTACACAGAATAATGACCATACAGCACAGTTGTCAGACATCTTTATAGTAAGAAGAGAAATGTTCCCTCAGAACAATATTAGCAAATAATTATAGCCCTAATGCCTTCTTTAGTAACTGCTACTGCAAAGGAGAGGAGGAAATGAGAAAGCTTGCAATCTGAAGCCAGGCTGAAATGTTTAAATCCTTAAATTAACTTTTCTTTCCATTGTGATGGGAGCTTGAAGAGTGCTGTGACCTGAATGTGGCTGCAATTGGAAATCAGAATGCAATTGGAAATCAAAAATTCACACGTACACTTAGCAGTGCTGGAAATGATTTGTGTGGGAATGAAAATATTCATAGCCATACACGCAAAAACAACAAACAAGCACATGGAATGGAGAAATGTGGAAAAGTGTAATTAAAAAAAACACACAAAATTGTTCATTTTTTCTATCAGGGAAAATGGAAAACATATAATAAAGAGTCTTTTTTAAAATATATAGTACAAAAATCATTTTGGAAAATAAATTTACCTTTTTATGCAAGGATGGAATTGTCCCCTTACAATGGACTTCAGTTTCGTTGAGGGGGCTTTCTCACTTCTTTCTTGTGAAATACGACCAATAATACCTTGTATTGACTGGTGGTCTCCCATAGATCTACTAGCAGGGTTGACTCTGTTTAATTTCCAAGATCAGACACCAAGATCTGGCACCTTTAGGTTATTATGAGTCATGTAAAAAGAGAACTTGAAGGTGTTAATTATTCAGGAGTAATCTGGAATAATTGTGCCTTCTTATCAATGCTTTATTGTCCTTGGAAGACAAAACATGCCACTAGTATTCATACTGTTTGGTTGATCATTTAAATACATCCTCCAAATGATAAATGGGTAGGGAAACCTTTGTATTTACATAACGAATTACAGGTGATAGCAGTAGAGAAAAGATAGAAGATACAGTAGAAGATGACGTCCGTGCATGAGGCGCTTGACATATGAAAAATCTTTCAGTGTTAAAATGGTTGCTGGGGAGGAAAGCCACACCAGATTCACACCCACACTTAGGGTGTCTATGTGTGTGCTTTGACTGACAGATACAGGAGGACTGATCCCAAACAAGGCAAATGTTGGATTCTTTCCATGTCAATCATCAAAATGAGCTTTCATCAGGGGATTAATCAAGCTCCATCTGTCAGAATGATTGGTCTGTACTGGTCAGAATTGGTGGCTTACTTATTATTCCCACAGGTTCTCTGAATCTCAGGGGATATTAAAAATATAGCCCAGAATCGCTGCTAAAACTACTTCCAGTTTTATGGCTTTTATCCCAGAGAAGCAGTTACTTCATTGCAAATAGAGCAGGTTTGGGTAAGTGATGCTGCAGCAATTTGATAGCTTCAGCTGCTGATGCAGCTATTATTCTTCAAATGGAGGGAAAGGATACAGTTATTCCCAACAGATTAGAGGAAGAGCTGCAGAAGTATTTTTGTTATTCTCTTAGACTGGGGTGGGCAAGCTGCAGCAAGGACAGAGCTAATTTTGATATCTGTGCTTCCACATTTATAGCCACAAATAGGGAAAAAGATGTGGTTCAAAATGTATGGTCATTTCTTCTAGTTTTCATTTTCTATAATTTTTTGGAGAAGGTTCAGTTCTCTTTTAGATGGGGGTTGGCACTATTAAACCTAATTGGCCAAGAGTTAGAACTGAAGCCAGGGACATTGTTATGGAGGAATGAAACAGAACACGAACTGCAGCAAAAAGAAAAAGATGAGAGAACCCTCAATGAATGTCAGATGAAATCTTTCAAGCAATTAAGGAAGTGAAAATAAATAGTGACAGAATCCTGAATGCAACAGTTCAGCAACTTGTGTACAGGATCAACAAGAACCACTGTGGAAGATGATACCAAAAAAGAGGAGTTTTTTTTAATAACGAGAGACTTTCCCCACAAGATTTGATCAAAGGGAAATTTGACTCAAATGTGGAGATTCTCTCTGACCAAGAGTAGAACAAAGAGTGTATTTATTTATTTATTTCATACATTTGTATCTCGTCCTTCTCAACCCCTCGTCCCCCCGGGAGAAAGGAGACTCAGGGCGGCCTCACAATCGGTGCCCAAACAAGACAATTATAATCACAATTTACATTTAAAACAATCATTAAAATATCACATATAAAAACATCCAATTAATATTCTGCAAGTTCAAGTCATAATCAAGGCGAGTCCATTCTCAGTCCAATAAATCATTCTCATTGTTTAATGCTGCATCTGCTTCTCAAATGCTTGGTCCCTAAAGGCTGGGGGGGGGGTGTGTGATCTGATTTTATTAGGAAGGGTGTTCCACAGCCATGGGGGCATCACCAAAAAGGCCCTGTCTCTTGTCCCCACCAGCTGCACTTGCAAGGATGGTGGGATCAAGAGCAGGGCCTCTCCCGATGATCTTAATCCCTGAGGTGGGTTCTAGAGGGAGATACATTCAGAGAGGTAAGCTGGGCCAGAACGGTTTAGGGCTTTATAGGCCAAGGTCAGTACTTTGAATTGTGGTCTGTAGCAAATCGGCAGCCAGTGGAGCTGACATAATGGGGGGGGGGGTAATATGCTCCCTGTACACAGCTTCAGTGAGCAGTCTGGCTGCTGACCATTGGACTAGTTGAAGTTACCGAATAGTCCTCAAAGGCAGGCCCATGTAGAGTGTGTTGCAGTAATCTAAACAGAATTTAACAAGACTGTGGTGTTGGGTTGAGAACAAAAGAAATCCTTGGAAACTAGCAAAAATGTGTTGCTTGGTTTTAACATGTGAACTTGATTTTGTTGTTGCTGTTTCCCTGTACCCTGTGTTCACTACATATTATTTTGCTCTGACACATTTTCTGTTTTTGTTTCCCTGTTCCAGCTAGCCAAGCCAGGGACCTTTTGTCAAAGATGCTAGTGATTGACCCAGCCAAACGGATATCCGTGGATGAAGCCTTACAGCATCCGTACATTAATGTCTGGTATGACCCGGCAGAAGTGGAGGCAGTAAGTAAAACTTTGGAGGCAGTAAGTAAAACAGTGGCAGAATGATGACTGTCAGAGTCATCATTCTGCTAACTCCATTTTGACGTTGTTTCAAATGGCTTCACATGACAGCTGTAGCCATTTTAAGGAGCAGCAGGGCTTCTCATGTGGGTGAATAATTTTCAACCATTGCCATACAATTTTGGTACATTCTAATATGTTCCCATATTGCCTTTCTTTGATGTGACTGACCAGTTAAGACAAGTGGCATCAGTCTATAGCTTTGGTGGAGCAAGTGAGTGAGATACAACCTTTTCTCTAACTATGCAGTTGTCTACTCACTGTCTGAGTAGATTATACTTCCCCAGCAATGCTGCTAAGACATGAAGAGGTGAGGCTTGAAACCCATGGTAAGCTTTACAATGCAAACTCTTTTATAGCTCAAAGAGTGAAATGACAGATATCTCCATACTCCTACCCTCTCGAGCACCTGGTAATCCTCCACATAAAATGTTCCAGGTTCAGAATAGCCCTGGGGGATACTATTTCTCAATGGCTATCACTTATTAGTAGCCTGAGGGAGGGAAAACCAAGATCTCTCAGTGGTCACGAAGAGGCTGGTAGGGTATATAAAAAGATTTCAGGAACTGGAGAAGAAGAAAAGGAAAGATCTTGGTTCCTTGTGCCTTTCTTCTGTTGATTTAGCTTACTTTGAAGCATTTGTTGAAGAGAGGAGACTTTCATCCCAGACTGCTGTCCACGTTGTTGCTGTTACCCTCTTGCTGTGACTTGTTCCCACTGTAACAGCACTATACGTTGTGGACCCAGACTATATGAAATTACTGAACTTACATAAACCAGCCAGGCTTTACCATATTTGGCAGAGTGCTTTTTCTTTCTCCAAACACTGTCCCAAGTGAATTCGATCAAGGCATGCAAATGAGACTTCTGAGTGACTGCTCCTAGACCAGTGGTTCTCAAACTGTGGGTCCCCATGTGTTTTGGCCTACAACTCCCAGAAATATTAGCCACTTTGCCAGATGTTAGAATTTCTGGGAGTTGAAGGCCAAAACATCTGGGGACCTACAGGTTGAGAACTACTGTCCTAGACTATAGAATTCACTTCCACAAGATACTGTGGGTGCATGCATGGGCTCATGTATAAATTACATACACACACATATGTGACAGGTCATTGATTTCAATTGGTACTGCAGTGAGGTCTGCTGGATTTTGAACTTTAAGTTTTTAAACATGCCTCAATAATTAATTTACAATTCTTTTGAATAGTATTGTCTAGCCAATGCTTTTTGTGCATTGTTTTCGTTGTAGTTTCTTTTAATCTTATACTGCAAGCCACCTTCTTCAATGAGCTCTTTGATGGCTCTCCTCCTTCCCACTTTGCCTGAATTACCTTGGGTAATAAGTCAGTCTGTGAGGGAATGCAATTGGCCCAAGCCATGCAGTGGAGACCTGCATATGAACCTTTCAAGTTACCATTATGTTTTCTATTATATTATACTTCCTCTCATATGTGTGTGTACGGGCCTTCAAGTCAGTAGTGATCCCATTCATTTCATAAGAGGTTTTTTAAAATGCAAGGAATACTCCACAGTGCTTTTGTCAGTTCCTTCATCTGAAATATAGCCCCCAGCACCTGGCATTCACAGGCAGTTTTCCATCCAAGTACTGAGAAGGGACTGGCTTTGCTTGGCTTCTGGGATCAGGCGGATGTGGTGTTGGGTTGAGAAATTGGGAGTGGGAGAGGGCTTGTCCTCATTGAGTAGAAGAGGGGATTTCTTTAGGAACTGCTTGTTATGCAACTAGATAATAAGCAATACCTATTGTAATTACTTCTTCTGCACTATCACTAAAAAGCTTGCCCTCTCTAGTTTTCACCCTAGGAACTCTGCTCATATAAGTTCCATTTTTCCTGCGAATCTGGCACATTTTATGCTCATATGATTTGTATTCATAGATGTAGTCAGATGTATCAATTGAAACATGACAAGAAAAGGTTAAGGAAATATCTCTGGTGCACATTTCCTGTGTTAAGGAGGTAGGAGAGACTCTCCAGGCAAGATCAGTTATTTTGATATCAGTGAGCAGCAGGGTGGAATGAGGAGAGGATCATGAATACGGCAGCCAGTCTTCCATAGAAAATGGTCATAAGCATCATTAACCCTGTGCTTGCCCTCTGGGGGGAAAGGCCTGGTGTTTGTATGCTATTACAACCAGGACATGTAATCAGTCTGAGAAAGCCCCCTAAAATTCCTTAGAGAGCATCTTGTAATCCTTTCCCAATGTCATTGTCGCTGTGAGTGTAAATTCATTAGCGTTTAAGAGGCGCTCGGTTACCATGGTGATGAGGTACCATACGGAGAGATGGGTCAGAGTCTACAGGCTGGTGTCCTTTTCTGCTTTGACTACAAGATCTGAGAATCATGATGCCCCATATGGCTACAGCCTGGCCATAGATGTAACTTTTGCACATAAGGTTAATAAGTAATTATCCGGAGTGACATAATTAGTCTTCTATTTTTTTAAAAGGAAATCATTTCAGGATTTTTTTTCCTATTCTCATGGGGAGAAACTGAATGTGAATGAATTTTTAGTGTCCGTCTCCTGTAATTGAAACTGTCTATCGCCATTAAGTTTTGTTGTTATTGAGTGCTTTAAAGTTATTTTTACCTTATGGTAGAAACCTGCCCTTGCATTATGCTACTCTGCTGCTGAGTATGCATGCCCAATGTGGAATACATCTTACCACGCTAGAACAGTGGATGTGGCTCTTAATGAGACATGCCGCATTATCACGGGGTGTCTGCGCCCTACACCACTGGAGAAATTACACTGTTTAGCTGGTATTGCACCACCTGACATCCGGGAAGTAGCAGCCAATAGTGAAAGGACCAAGGCAGAGACATCTCCAGCTCATCCCTTGTTTGGGTATCAGCCAGCAGGTCAACGACTTAAATCAAGAAATAGTTTTCTAAGATCTACAGAGACACTTGCTGGAACACTTCAGCAAGCGAGAGTCCAAAAGAGGCCCGTAGCCAGGATTTTGATTTGGGGGGGGGGGGGCTGAGTTTGGGGGGGGGGGGGGCTGAGTCTGAGTGAAAGAGGATCTACCCTAGCAAACCTTTTGTATCGTTACCCCAATACCCCCATGCATATGGGATATATTGAGTATGGTGATCAGATCATGATATGAATAAACATAATAGTTTAAATAATGCACCAGTAAGGCCTTTTCGCGAACCACCATGAGAATTTCGGGGGGGGGCTGAAGCCCCCCTGGAACACCCCAGCAAGCGAGAGTCCAAAAGTGGCAGGCTCAAACCCAGAACCTCAATCAATGGCTGATACCAAATGAGAGACTCCCCCCTGGGCACACAGAAAACTGGGCGACTTGGAAGGCGCTGAACAGACTGCACTCTGGCACCACAGATGCAGAGCCAACCTTAAGAAATGGGGCTACAAAGTGGAATCCACGACATGCGAGTGTGGAGAAGAGCAAACTACAGACCACCTGCTGCAATGCAACCCGAGCCCTGCCACATGCACAATGGAGGACCTTCTTGCGCAACACCAGAGGCACTCCCAGTGGCCAGCTACTGGTCAAAGGACATTTAATCAACTATCAAGCTTGCAAATTCTGTGTTTTGTTTGTTTGTTTTTGTTAGAAATATAATACAATGGTCTGGTTGCCCCTGACACGATAAATAAATAAATACCTTATGGTAACCCTAAAGGAATTCTATCATGGGTTTGATTCTCTGGTGACCATAGGTAAGTCACATGGTCTCAGCCCAGAAAGCCCCATGATAGAATTCCTTTAGGGATACCAATGGTCAAAGGACTGCACCACAGTTTATTTGTCTCCTTTCCTTACCCTATCCCTAACCCTAACCCCAGCCCTTACCTGCAGCAGAAGTCCAGCACTACTTCTTTCTTGGAGAATTGCATATGAGACATCAGACATTTATTTTTACATCTATCTTCTACCCTTAGAACTCTCCAACTTATACTCCTGAAATATCTTTCTGTTTGACTGGATATTGTGAATGGCTTCTGTCTTCATTTTCTTTTATGAATTTCAAGAATTATCTTCATCCTAATTGAGCCAATAATTTATTTATTGTATCAGAAAGGAACTGAGGGTACAGATGTAATGTATTTAAAAAACACAAAGTTTTAAAAACTTGGCATTATACTAAATGTCCTTTGACCAGTAGATGGCCACTTGGAGTGCCTCTGGTGTTGCTATAAGGAGGTCCTCCATTGTGCATGTGGCAGGGCTCAGAATGCATTGTAGCAGGAGGTCTGTGGTTTGCTCTTCTCCACGCTCACATGTTGTGGACTCAACTTGAGGCCCCATTTCTTAAGGTTGGCTCTGCATCTCGTGGTGCTAGAGTGCAGTCTGTTTAGCACATTCCAAGTCACTCAGGAGGATGTTTCTCATTCAGTATCAGCCATGACTTGAGGTTCCAGGTTTTAACCTGCCACTTTAGGATACTCACTTGCTGAGGTGTTCCTGCGAGTATCTCTGTAGATCTTAGAAAACTATTTCTTGATTTAAGGCATTGGTGTGCTGGTGATATCCGAACAGGGGATGGGCCAGAAATGTCACTGCCTTGGTCCTTTCATTATTGGCTGCTACTTCCCAGCGGATGTCAAGTGGTGCAATACCAATTAAACAGTTTAATTTCTCCAGTGTTGTAGGATGTAGACATCCTGTGATAATGCAGGAGATAAGAGAGAAGCCTCCAGGCAGGATTGCAACACATCTGGGACATCCCTGTGCAACATCTTTGTAGATGGCTGATTCTCTCACACCAGAAGTGACCAGAAGCAACTTGCAACATGAACCAATAATAAAAACACAAGACAGTGAAAACCACTCCATCATGTAATGCGGGGTCTTCAAACTAAGGCCCGGGGGCCAGATGTGGCCCTCCAAGGCCATATACCCGGCCCTCGCTCAGGGTCAACCTAAGTATGAAACTACTTCAAAGCAC